TTTTAGTTCAAAATGTCGTAATGATGGATTTGTTTCTTACAAACATGCACCATTACATATTTCACAAGATGTTAACTGATGGACTGGAGTGGTGTGGATTATTATTGTGATATTTTTATCAGCTGTTGGACTCTCATTCTGACGGCACCCATTCACACTGGTTAGCAAGTGATGTAATGCTACATTTCTCCAAATCTGTTCTCGTAAAGAAACAAACTCATCTATATCTTGGATGGCTTGAGGGTGAGTACATTATTAGCAATTTTTTTACTATTCCTTTAAACTATTCCTTCATTTTTTTAAAAACTCAATCAATTTCACTTTGCAGTGACAATATAGGAGTTAAATGTTACATCCTTAATGTAGCACCACCCAGTTCTGCAGAATTACAGTCATTATTAGCCTTTGAATGGCTCATCCTTGACATTTCTCCATCCCTCACTACTCTACTGTACTTGTCAAGCACATGGTGTTACCGCCTTAGAAAGAATGTATGATCTAAACTCTGTTCATGTCAGGACCTTGTTGACACAATTTTATCATGTCCTTCTTGACCTGTTCCAGTAGTGTTTTTTCTTGAGGTGAGTGCGAGTATAATATATTGCATTTCCGAACACATTAAAAATCTCTTAGTGTTATATCAATATACAGCTAATGAGAAAACATTTTGCTTTGACATATATTCCAAACTAAAAAAATGAATGTTCACTACATACTGTGCTATAACAAAATTTCAAGAAAAGTTGATTCTTATAGACATTTTGTCTATATAAAGTGCTTTACATAGACATGCTAAAGAAAGAGTAGAAATAAAAACAACAATTGTCAATTTTAAAATGCATAGTTTTTATGTATACGTTTCGCAGATACTTTCATACAAAGGCTAGACTTGCACAGGTTTAAAAAGTGAAAGTGAAAGTGACGTGGCCAAGTATGGTGACCCATACTTGGAATTAGTGCTCTGCATTTAACCCATCCAAAGTGCACACACACAGCAGTGAACACACACTGTGAACACACAACCGGAGCAGTGGGCAGCTCTCTTAGTGTTATATCAATATACAGCTAATGAGAAAACATTTTGCTTTGACATATATTCCAAACTAAAAAAATGAATGTTCACTACATACTGTGCTATAACAAAATTTCAAGAAAAGTTGATTCTTATAGACATTTTGTCTATATAAAGTGCTTTACATAGACATGCTAAAGAAAGAGTAGAAATAAAAACAACAATTGTCAATTTTAAAATGCATAGTTTTTATGTATACGTTTTGCAGATACTTTCATACAAAGGCTAGACTTGCACAGGTTTAAAAAGTGAAAGTGAAAGTGACGTGACGTGGCCAAGTATGGTGACCCATACTTGGAATTAGTGCTCTGCATTTAACCCATCCAAAGTGCACACACACAGCAGTGAACACACACTGTGAACACACACCCGGAGCAGTGGGCAGCCATTTATGCTGCGGCGCCCGGGGAGCAGTTGGGGGTTCGGTGCCTTGCTCAAGGGCACCTCAGTCGTGGTATTGAATGTGGGAGAGAGCGCTGTACATTAATTCACTCCCCCCACATACAATCCCTACCGGTACGAGACTCAAACCCGCAACCTTTGGGTTATGAGTCCGACTCTCTAACCATTAGGCCACGACTTCCCCCTTTCAAGTTTTTAGTTTGGACTTGAATAGCACTTGAATATACATGACAGTTAATGGTAATGGAAGCCACAGTATTATAGCTCATATATTTCATAGAGCTACACAGAATTATTTCTCTTAAAGAAGACATAAATTCAAAGAAAGTCGTTAATAAACTACAGGTGTGCCCGCTAGCCTGAATCGTTATACTAAATCGCCATCCAGTGGTGAGAAGTGAAACTACAGGAAGGCTCAAAGGACAGGGCTCTAGGTCAAGTTATAAACTACAAGAACACTGAAGTCTGTTAACGGTTCCCTCCCAAACACATCAGCAATTAAAATAAATTGTAGTTTCTTTAGCATATTTGAGGAGATCCCTAAACATTCTTTTTAAGGTAATATCCACTGATCCATACCACTAGTGTAAGGATATTTGTTATATATATATATATATATATATATATAAAGATGGTTGTATATTAATATAATATACATTATATTAATATGCTCTTTTTCACATATCTATTTATTCATAAATATATACATATCCACATCGATACATATAATGTAATAGCGTTATTCTCAATATACTTTATAATTAATACTCATCATACTTCATATACACAGTGTGTATATATACATGCATACATAAAGTACGATGCATATTAATGCAATGTATATGAAAAAATGAAAGAAGAGGATTATTGTTGAGGATTATTATTGCTTGTGAACACTATTACATGATTATTACACGATTACATGATATGTAATGATTGGGGATGTCAAACTAGAGTAAAAAAAAAAAGATATCTTGAATAAAAAAGAAGAATTCAGTCTTATTTATACGTGTTTTTCGCACCTGATGGAAAAAGGCTGGAAATCATCAACAGTGTCTGCGGGAAAATAATCACGTTATTAGTATTTGTATTTCCGGTCAACCTACAATTCCCTCTGACTAGCGACAAAGCATCGGTTGTGGAGCTTTTTTGTTGGCAAACAAAGACGTAAGCAACTGTGTTTTACGAGCATTGACGCGATGAGTTCATAAGGAGCTGAATTAAACTCGGCTCCGTTATGAAACGCATTTAAAGTGTGATGAGAGAAAGCCTGACCTCCCCCACCCCAGATAAAGACAGAGTTGGCTTGTTGTTAGCTGGCTCGGCTAAACAAACCCCGCGCTGATCTTTTTATAGCAGAGAGGGGGAGCCAGAGACTTACAGCAGACCGACAACCAACCTCTCATCCTAACAACAGTCCCCTTATTTTTTCTTCTTTGAAGTTACCCCAAGCTAAGGTAAATATCAAACCCTGTCCTAAGGCTGTCTTCGCGTTCCTTACCACATTTCGACACGTTTCCATTTGGTTTTTCTCGACGGAACGGCTCTGAGAAGACGAACGTCGCAACGGCTCGGCTAGTCGTTCTCCTCCGGCGCGCCCCCCAGCGTAGAGTCCGAGGCTTCTGCGGAGCTCGCGGAGGCCTCGCGCCACAAACACTGGCGAGCGTTTTTGTGTGGGAACTCAAACGGATTATATACAGATATCCCACGCTTTTTTGTAATGACCGAAAACGTTTCGTCACGTCACGTACAGTGTGAGGGAGAGAATGGAGGACAGCGAAAAGTGTTTTTATTGTTCGCGAGCGGAGATAGAAAGATGTGCGTAGCCGAACTAGCCTTGGCCAGCGTTTAGCATAGCGGCGGCTATCGTTTAGTAGACTAAACGACTGAACTATTCACAGAAAATTGTGTAGAAGATAACTAAATTTGTTATTTAAATAAGTAAGAACACAAGCAGCTCGGGTTTCTGTAAGAATTCACATAGCAGATCAGAGCAATGCTAACTAGCGAGTCTCTGCAAGGAATCTATTAAGTCCCGAGCTAACGCTTTGCTAATAGTCGAAATCATTTCTAAGCATCTCTCGAGAACCCACGAACGGCTTAAACGCGTGTTATGGTAAATATTTACATTCTCTAGTGTTCATAACTGAACATGGTGGTAGCCATGTTTTTGACTCATTACGGCTGAATAAACGTCAGTGAAACGCTTTGAGGATGAATGGTTCCTCTGTGGCGATCGACTTGTCAACACTGTGTTTTTGGTCATTTTGTGTTACCCTGTTTGCACAGATGTGATGCTTCACTCCACTGGATCTCCTGCCATATCCTTTAATAGCATCTTGCGTTAACGAAAGGAAAACTTGAAATCGCATCATATGACCCCTTTAAGTTGGAGCAAAAAATATTGGAAAATTGGGCAAAACAACAAAGGTACAAGACTTAAGGGCTTTAGTGAGGGAAACTACAATCTTATGAATCTTTGCAAATGACAATCAGATTAAAATCAATGGAGAAATATAAAACGACTCATTTAAAGATATTAATTATCTACAGAAACTATGTATTTTTAGTTTATTGCAAAATGTGCATATATATGCAAATGTTTATGTATTAAGGGAAACTGACTCGATTACATTATTTGTGGTGCTTCATGGGCTTCAACTAGGGGTGTGACGAGACACTTATCCCACGAGACGAGACACGAGAACGAGACGAGATTTTTAGACTTTTTTTTAAAGAAATCCTCAATGATGAAAGTAGTAGTAGACTATGTACATTCTACTGAAAAATAGTTATAGGCACAATGTCTTCAAATCAAACCGGACTTTTATTTTGACGGGTTGCCGTGACTACCTTTACAGCTCGTTAGTTTTACTCAAATCAAACGCTAAAATGCTCATTAAGTGACTCTCAGAGCAGTTCTGGAGATGTTGTTCATGCGTTTACGTCCTCATTTAATGAGACGGCAGACGCTGAAATCACAGCGAGTATCAGGCGCGCTTCAGTATGTGTGTAGTAAATGAAACCGCGCGTCTGCGCCATTCATTAACAGAGACAGGCAGAACATGCAGGATTCATATTTAAATCGACTTTTGCGGCTTAATATTTACAGATACTAGTCCATATCGTGATTTGATTTAAGTGTAATGACCTACTTTTGATTAATTAATTCAAAATTCGACAAATTCCGTGACATTCCGCATTAAACTGAATTCTGTTTTTATGACTGGATAAAGACTACGCCGTCATTTTTTGCACCCACCGGCAGAAACATAAATCGGCACCTATGGCCATGTCCATAACAAACTAAACTTACTTACTGAATCTTAACCACATAGTGGGCTCGCAAACCTCTCATTCGGCATGAATCGTTTCCATGAGTGAATCGTTACGCAGTCTAACATTTGGTTGCTAAACTATTAGGCTACTTATTACGTAAAGAAGGCTTTGTACTTCTCTCATGTCCGAATATCTACTAACAGCATCCTTCACATATGCAAAAAAGTGTTTGGAAAAACACCACGGCATGCTCACGCTGACCGGCAAAACCTACATATTGTACAACAGACAAGTTAAATTGAGTCACCAAATACATTTTGTAGGTTTAGTTGTCTTGTTTAGTTTGCTGATGATGAGGCTGTGATGTCAAGTTGCAATGCTAGAACTGATTTGTTGTGTGCGCGCAGGAGGCGCCAGCGCAAAACACTTTGGATTCCCTATATCAGCTGAAAAATGTGATATCCGTCAGATAAGAGCAAGACATCTTTCAAAACGGTCTATTTTTATTTGTGTACCTTCAAAATGACAGTGAAACTTTGTGCTTTTGTAAAATAAAGAAAACAAACAAAATGCGCTTGCCGTCTTGGTCTATGTGAACCACTTCCTAAAATGAAGAAAAACCCTGCGATACTGTCTACTTGTCAAACAGACATGAGAAATATATTTAGCTATATAAACCTTGAAGTGCCTGCTTTTAAGTGTTTACGCTTTGCTTATTTGACATTAATGCATTATATAAGTCACTTTGGAATATAAATCATAGCACGTTTCAGAAGATAAAAAAATGTGAATTGCAGTCCGGAAAATACGGTATAGCAAATTATTTTGCGGACCCCCTGGCTTTGCGTCGCGGACCCCTGTTTGAAAACCCCTGGTCTAAATGATCAATTTTGTAACTAAGCAATGCGCTATGAGAGACTTGAATGCTTTGTTTTTATAAGGCTCTTACATCATAAAATAGTTTTTTGTTGTTGTTGTTGTTTTTCATTATTTACACTACCGTTCAAAAGTTTGGGGTTGGTCAGATTTAAGTCACTTCTGCATACCAAGGATGCATTTATTTAATCGAAATACAGCAAAAACACTAGTCAACATTTTAAGTGGATCAAAACCTTTCATCAAAGTTGTCCTAAAACCTAAAACCAAAATGCGTTCTTGTCTTCGGACAACTTTGATGAACTTTTTTGATCCACAATGTTGACTACTGTATTTAAAATAACTGTTTTAATGTGAATATATTTTAAAATGTAATTTATTCCTGTGATGTAAAGCTGAGTTTTCAGCATCATTACTCCAGTCTTCACTTCAGTGTCACACGATCCTTCAGAAATCTAATTCTAATATGCTGATTTGCTGCTAAAGAAACATTTCTTATTATTAATGGTTAAAATAATTGTGCTGCCTATTATTTTTTTTGTGAAAACCATACATTAAGTTTAAAGAACAGCAATTATATCAAAAAATATTTTGTTAGCCTTTTAAACCGTCACTTGATCCATAATAGCATCCTTGCTGAATTGAAATATTTACTTCATCTAGCAAAAGCAAAAAAATCTTGCCGATCCCAAACTTTTGAGCGATAATTTATATTAGATAATTTGCTGCAGCATCTGGATCATCTTCAGGTTTAGCTGATAAGACATTGCTTTCTTGGACTCTGATTCATGTACGCTATGTAGAGGGTGTTTTAGATTGGCTGTGTCAGAACATCTCTTCCGGCACTTTAGGTGGCTGTTAGATTTCTACCCTGGGAGTTCTTGTAATAAAGAAAGCTTTGCCTTATCACACTCTGTTTGTGTGTACAGTGTTGAACCAGCTGCCCCTGCCCTCCCCTTTACCGGGCACCTCCACTAAGAGCCTGCTGTACAGTGGGCGTGTAGCTGAGGAAGTGGGGCGTCTGATGGGCTGCAGGGATGAAACTCTGGTCTCTCAGCTCGCCAGCGGCCTCAGCCAGGTCTCCATGGAGCACATGTGAGTTTCTGCGTACATTTGCCCATTACATACACCACTCCTCTATATGCCTTCTCTTTCTAAATTGAACTCTCTGCTAAAACCTAAAACCAAAATGCGTTCTTGTCTTCGGACAACTTTGATGAACTTTTTTGATCCACAATGTTGACTACTGTATTTAAAATAACTGTTTTAATGTGAATATATTTTAAAATGTAATTTATTCCTGTGATGTAAAGCTGAGTTTTCAGCATCATTACTCCAGTCTTCACTTCAGTGTCACACGATCCTTCAGAAATCTAATTCTAATATGCTGATTTGCTGCTAAAGAAACATTTCTTATTATTAATGGTTAAAATAATTGTGCTGCCTATTATTTTTTTTGTGAAAACCATACATTAAGTTTAAAGAACAGCAATTATATCAAAAAATATTTTGTTAGCCTTTTAAACCGTCACTTGATCCATAATAGCATCCTTGCTGAATTGAAATATTTACTTCATCTAGCAAAAGCAAAAAAATCTTGCCGATCCCAAACTTTTGAGCGATAATTTATATTAGATAATTTGCTGCAGCATCTGGATCATCTTCAGGTTTAGCTGATAAGACATTGCTTTCTTGGACTCTGATTCATGTACGCTATGTAGAGGGTGTTTTAGATTGGCTGTGTCAGAACATCTCTTCCGGCACTTTAGGTGGCTGTTAGATTTCTACCCTGGGAGTTCTTGTAATAAAGAAAGCTTTGCCTTATCACACTCTGTTTGTGTGTACAGTGTTGAACCAGCTGCCCCTGCCCTCCCCTTTACCGGGCACCTCCACTAAGAGCCTGCTGTACAGTGGGCGTGTAGCTGAGGAAGTGGGGCGTCTGATGGGCTGCAGGGATGAAACTCTGGTCTCTCAGCTCGCCAGCGGCCTCAGCCAGGTCTCCATGGAGCACATGTGAGTTTCTGCGTACATTTGCCCATTACATACACCACTCCTCTATATGCCTTCTCTTTCTAAATTGAACTCTCTGCTCCATAAAATAAGTTTGATTTTTTTCCCCCAAATTGCATGCTTTCCATTAAAATTTTTCTGGATTCTGTTTTAATGGTTTAATGAAATTTTAATAATCAAAGATGTCTAATCAATTGAACTCATAAAACTTTAATTACTTAATAATTACTTTTAAAAATTTTGACGATAATAGGGGCTATGAAATGTTTTATTTTTCAGAAATTGTTTTATGATTGAATCAAAAACTGTACTAATCAAATGAATGCGTAAAACTAATAACGCATGCATATGAATGCATAAATCTTTTGAAGTGTAATCAAATGAAATGTGATCAATTCCAATTTTTAATGAACCATTAAAAGTGCTGCACAACTGTTTAAATGTAAACATGGACAAAAAAATTATTTTCCTAAAATGTTTTAATAGACTGTTATTGTTGTTGCTACTTTGAAAAGTGCATTCTACTTGTATAGTAGGGGTGGGGGAAAAAATCGATACAGCATAGTATCGCGATATTTTCCACGGCAATACTGTATCGATACATGGATGCCAAGTATCGATCTTTTATTATACTATTTGGTAGAATAATAAAAACAATTTCTTTACAATCCACTAGATGGTGGTGTTGAGTTTTTTTTCTGGTGAGGTCGGCTGGGTCACCTTCAGCATGCAGTAAGTTAGTAAAATAAAGAGGGCGGCATTGCGGAAAGTTATCAGGAAAGCCCCGTCCGCGTTTAAAGCGGATGTATGGACTTACTTCGGATTTGTAAACAAGGAGGGGATGTAAGTAGGGATGCACCGAAAATATAGGCTACATATAAAAATAATAATAATAGTAATAATAATAATACATATGGCGCCGTGTCGCGCCCCACCCGGCAGTGTTCAGCGCGCATGTTTCACTCTCCTCGTCACTGCGCGTTTCGACGCTCCGCTTAATATTCCGATCTATGAATGTGCGTTCCGCTCGTGTACCGCTCATGCTCACTGGAAAAGCCGCTCAAAGTCCGCTCAAATAACGCGCTGACAGGAAATTTCTATGCAGTATAGGCCTACTTGTTCCGGTTTGCAGTAGCGCTACTGTGCTGTAACATGGTGTAGGCTAGTTCAGCTGTACTGGGCAACGCTGGTAAAATAATGCTACCTTCAGTGACGCTATGCTCTGCTCATATGCTCTGATAATAATAGCTTTGTAGGACTATACATTATTTGGAGAATTAGTAAAAAAAAAA